AGATAACGGAAATCTCTTAAATAGTCATCCACATTTTAATAATTTTATCATTTCCTTTGCGTTTTGGGAGGGAGACAAAAACCCAGTTTTTCCTTGGTTATTCCTGGGAAGTAACTGCTATCCCTCTGTTCCCAGGAAAGTGATCCAGACTGCCATGAAAAGCAAGGAGCGGGCAGCCGTCCTCAGCACGCAGTACCTGGAGGAGGCGGCGGCGATGTGTGACCAGGTGGCCATCCTGGTGTCCGGGCAGCTACGGTGGGCACCGGCGTCGCATCGCTCGGCAGGATGCCACTTGGGTTGCAGTCTGGGTTTTGGGATTTTGTGTATTTTTTCTTCTTAATCTAATAGAAAATACTGGGGGGGTTTTGACCCGAATGTATAACAGACATAGTTGTGCGAGGAGGTAGGTTGTTTTAGCAGCACAGAACAAACTGCTGCTGAATAAGAGGATGTATGTCCGCTGCTCTTATCCAGTGCTTGCTTTGGTTGCTGACCAGGATGATCTGAGCACTGCTTTCCCTCCTCTGCAGGTACATCGGTTCCCTTGAGGATCTGAAAAGTAAGTTTGGCACCAGTTACCAACTAGAAGCCAAAATGACGGACACGGGGCAAAGTGATGCTCTCCACACCGAAATTCTGCGGCTCTTTCCCAACGCAGCTCGACAAGAAAGGTCACTACCCTGTGGGCTGCACACCCAGCACGGGCTTGTGCCGGGACGCTCTGTTGCTCCTACTGACCCTGCTCAGTAACCCACCTGGGAGTACAGTAACCCTACCTGCACCCCTAAACGTGGGTGCCGAGTCACAAAATGATGAATTCATTTTTCCATTACTTTCCCAGGACTCCTTCTTTGCTCACCTACAAGATCCCAATGGAAGACGCACTACCTCTCTCCCAGTCTTTCTCCAAGCTAGAAGCAGGTAAAAGGAAACAATCAGTTAAACACGAAGATTGCTTTCAAAATGCCCATATGGATTTGTTTTTTACGGATGCCTTTTCTATCCCTCTGCAGCTAAACAGAATTTCAGGCTTGAGGAGTACAGCTTGTCCTTGCATACTTTGCAACAGGTATGTTGATGTAGAAGTTACGGGTTAGAAACTGCCTGCATAAAAAGAAGAACTAGACCGTGATCAACATAAATACTGTCAGTTCCTGGCAATAACAGGGTCATTTCTGCTGTTGTGCATTGCAGGTGTTTGTAGACCTCACCCGGGACCTGGAGGAGCACGACGTGGATGCGGCGTTCGATGGGGCTGTGGAGCGGAGACCACTTCACCCCTGAGCTCTTGGAGCCACGAAGGAAAATATTCAGCGTATTTCCTCAGCGTTACTGATGCGTGTGTCCAGATGCAGCCCTAGGACTTGGTTACCTGTGTCATGTTGCATACAGACTTGTAGGTTTGATGCCTCACAAACTAAAAAAAGAAAGATTTATTATTTTAATAAATAAAGCCTTTATCTACCTGCCATCTGTACCCCTGCTCAGACTGACTCGGGAAGATTCGCTGTGCTGAGGAATAACCCTGCTGGGAAGAACTGCTGGTCCCAAGGCAGGCACCGCAGCTGGGGCCGGGGCCAGGGGGGGCTCAGTTGTTGGAGAGAATCATGTGCAAACTCCGAGGAGGCTCGGAAACCCTCCCTCCTCCATGGCGGGAGGGCACCAGAGCTTTGGGAAACATCCTTCTGGGTGGTGTCTCACAGCCAGTGAGGCTGGTGCTTTCTGGTGGAGGGGCACAGGGCTGTGGTTTGGCCCAAAAATCTGCTGTTGCTGCGTGTTCCAGCTGAGCCACCTTGGCCCAAATCTGATCCCCACCACTGAGGCCACAGAGAGAGGAAAGGACTTAGCAACCCCTGGAAAAGTTTAATGTAAACTGGCAGCTCTCAGATCACCATCCTTAAAAAAAAAAAAAATTATCTGGAGTCAAAATAAGATGTGTTTTGGCCCAAAGTAGAGCTGGACAAGGACAGTAGGTTAAACAGGTCTTATGGCCACAGCACGTGAGTCTGACTTGCTCTGGTGTTCGGGAAGACGGGGTGGGCTCCATGCTAGCACCCACCCTCTGCAGGTGCTTGGGGGGGATGGAGGCACTGGTGGGGAGATGTGGGCAAGCACCAGCACCCTGACCCTGTCTGAGCAGATCACCCTCTCTTCTTGGACAGGTGTCTGACAGGGCTAGCTTTCAATAATAAAAAAATAAATAGCAACTACTTACATTCAAGCAGACAGATGTTTCCCCTGGTGCCCTGTCCCCCAGCACCCCCACCCTCTGGGAAAGGCTGGACACCCACTGGAAGACAGTGGCAGTGTCATCCCTTGGGACAGACACAGCAGCAAGACCCTCACCACGCCACAGTCTTGCCTGGTTCATGTGGATGATGCTGGTGACACAGGTACGGAGGGTGCGGGTACGGAGGATGCGGGTACGGAGGGTGCAGGTACGGAGGTTGCAGGTACGGAGGTTGCGGGTACAGAGGGTGCGGGTACGGAGGATGCAGGTACGGAGGGTGCGGGTACGGAGGGTGCGGGTACGGAGGGTGCAGGTACGGAGGATGCAGGTACGGAGGGTGCAGGTATGTGTAAGGCAGGCAAGGATGCTGCGAGCGGATCACGCAGGCACAGATGTGTGTCTCGGCAAGTAGAGAGAGGGATGCGGGCAAGCAGGGGCTGCCGTGGCTCAGTGATGGACTGCTCCTGACAAGAACAGCCCGCAGAGCAGCCACCCCACACCCCTAGGAAGCTTTTTTCCATATGGGTCTCCAAATATCAGTGCCTCTGTCATGGAGTTGGGCATGGAGGTGGGCAAGGGAGGTGTCTTTGCTTGAGGTTCACTGACCGGGACCTGCCATATGCACTTCTCCTCTTAAGGGTTTTTATTCCCCTTTACAAGGACCTGAAAGAGGAGGAGAAGGTTTGTGTATGTAGGAGATGTACTGAGGGCAGGTCTTCACCTGATTCTGTCCTGACTGGAGTCTGCCCGGCTCTAAACCATCTGACTGTTATTTAAATGCCAGGGGTGTGTTTTTTCCTGCTAGGCAGAGCAAAGGGAAGCAGATGCACCTTCTCCACGTTTGCAAGCCAAGCCTCTGCCCCAGCTGGTCACTGCTCCCTCCCACTCGCCGGGCGAGGGATGCTGCGGTGGGTGATGGAGGGGCAGGCGTGCTCCTCAGCCTGGGGATGAAACACACCCCTTCCCTTCAGAAGCATGGGGTTAGTCAAGGGAAGTTTATTTTAACGTTTGCAATATGTTTTTTTAATCAGAAAAGCTGTTCCTATCTAGGAGGCAGCGCTTCACGGCTCTTCCCACGCCAGTGCTGGTGGCACTGAGACGGTTTGCAGACGCAACCTTCGCCATTCGGAGGTGAACAGGAGTCACCGTTGGCTCCTCTGCCTTCAGCAGTGTGCCGTGATGTTGCTGCCGACCTCGGCCTCTCTTGCTGCGCTCAGAAACATAACAAAATTTGCCAGAGAAAGGATTTTTGTGTGGTTTGTTGTTGGGCTCCTTTTTCTTCTCTTGGCCAAGACTCAAGAATTTCCTGAGTAACTTTTCAGAGAATCCGCTCCAGCAACTCCACAACAACATGCGCAGTTTGCTTTCTGTAACATAAATAAATCTGAAGGACCTGCCAAGGAGGGAGGGGGGAGGAAGCCAGGGACAAGTGAAGTGCTGAAGAGGAATGCCTTCTTGCAAAAGTGTCTGAGAGAAAAACAAGTGTGTGGACAAAGGAGCACTGGGAGCCACTGGGACAACCGGCCAGTCCGGCGCAGGGAGGCTCAGCATCTCTGCTTTCTCAGTCACGCTGCAAAGGACAAGCTCTGGGTTCCTTTCAAATCTTCCGGTTAAGGTAAGGCTCAAACATTCCTCTTAAAACAAATAAAGATCGTTATTTAAAAGGTACAAAACCTCCCAGCAATTAATAACACCATTAATAATGCTGGGTGTGAATATCAGCGTGTAGGTGGGACACTGGCTATCTTTCTAACAGGTTAAGATTGTGATTAAGTTTAGCAATTATTTAAAGGCATTAGAGTCTTTTTAACCTTAATTTGACATGAAATAACACACAAACGGGGCTCAGTTTACAGCAGAAGGATATTTCCAGTGTTTCTCTGTGCTAAGAGGATGTGGTAGGTTCAGTGCTGTATTTTAAGTCATCCAGCACACGTGAGGAGCAGATTTCTTAGTAAGTAGCTAATGTTAATATGGACATACCTCACCTGCAAAAGTTGCTCTGACAGCTGGCTTTATGCCTACTTCTTAAAGCTTCCACTGCGAGCATTAACCCAGGCAGCAAATCCTTGTTTGGCTTTGACTACACCTTCTTAAGGATGCTGCAACATCTTTTGGAGTAACACAGCAATGCATGCTCGTGGCTATGTGTTTCTCTCGTTCTCCATGCATATCCCCGACAACAACAGCTCTCTGAACGCGCTTCCAAGAATCTGTTCTCTAGCAGCTCTGAGTTGCCTTCAATCAGCGCTGCTTTCCTATGAGCTCAGCTCACACCACGGCCAGGAGTTGCTCAACGCTTCTTGGTGTGAAGCGTATAGCACATTAAAATGACATGCAAAGAGATGTTGGTGATTTTAATTGACCATATTGTTGTTATTTCTTGGATGCTGAGGCCACCCAAGCCAATTAGGTCACGTAGCATGATGTTCCCTGTTTCGTTGCATAGATAACTCCTTCTTACCATGCTACAGCACAGAAGTGTGAATTTCTGGTTATAACGGGTGTCTCGGTGCGGAGCTGCAAGGATTGGGAGTGTGTTGAGGACAATGAGGTCTCTTGGTCCCTCGCTGCTGGAAGCTGTGCTGCAGGGCTGGCTCGTTTGCTGCATGAGGTCTGAGTTGCTGCAGCTCTCTCTGTTGTAGTAAAAAGGGAAGGAAAGTGTTGCTGAGCACATGTGCAAGGACTGTGCAAATAAAAGCATCATGGCTGTTCTAGGCTTTGCTGTATTTGAAAGTAATTTAAAAAAAAAATGTCTGTAGGTTCGAAGATGAAGACACTTCAGAGAAATATGAATGTATTCCAGCAAACTAAAATTCTCTTGTGGAAAAATGTACTTATCAAGTGGAGAATGAAGATGCAGAGCTTTCAGGTAAACAAAAAAACCCTGAAACCCCCCAAAATAAATAAAAAAAAAAGTAAGTAGCTAACCACTGAGAGTGGTGAATCCCTGTCTGCCCCTGTACCCCAATTTCTTTCTGTAAAATTAAAAGTTCAAGTACTTTTGAGGAGCTGGACTGGTAATGAACACTTTCTGACACTTGGCTTCTTTAACTGACATTATTTCTGTCTTTTATGTGACATATGAAAGCACAGATGGGCTCTTTGAGCAGGGCAATTTGCTGAGGTGACGTGCACATATGCAGAGACCTTCTTAGTCGACATCTAATAATCCTGTGTGACTGAGTGCCTCTTGTTTGTATTTTAATCCCACACAGAATATGCTCTTATACCGTTATAGTATTAAATCCTTCTCCCCGCTCTCGCCCTTTCCTAGGAGTGGATGCTGTCTCTGCTCTTCCTGCCGCTGATGTTCATGGTGAGCATGTTCATGATGAACATGCACTACCCCGAAGTGCCGTACAGCTACCTCGGGCAGTTGGATGATCCCGCCTATGATGCCACCGGGGTCACTGTTGCTTTTACACCCATCACTGAGACCACAAGGCAGATAATGAATAAAGTGGCCTTGAACTCTGTAATGTTAGGTACGTTTTGCCTTTTACATGCTTAGCTTTGTTATTATTTAACCTATTACACGTGTTGTGTTTCTTTGGTTCTCTAGTATCCTTGGTCAGTTGAGAAAATTCACCCCAAATCCTCCTTCCTCACAACTATTTCTTCTGTGGTAGTTAACTTACTAGTGAGGTCAGGGTGTGCTTCTGAGCTGTAAAGCTCTGCCTTTCTAGAATAAAGTTATTAAGACATTAGTTCATTCTTTTGATGTACACTATTTCTCAATTGGTGAAATATGAAGTATTTAAAGGGCCACCCCTGACCAGTGAGAACGGGAAAGGGGGAGTTGCAGCGCTGGAAAAGCAGAATAATTATGTAGTGCCTGTGCTCACATTTCCAGACCTTCAGAAACTCACTGCAATGTTTTGCTTACAAACCCCAGGTATAAAACTGGAGGCAATGGACAATGAGAGAGCCCTGGAGGAAGCCTGGATTTTGAACAATGACATTATAGGGGTTGTATTTAAAGACAACTTCTCCTATCACCTCAGGTTTTCTGATGGCAACGTGGCTATTCCAAATGACAACTTTGGATATATAGGTAATACAAAATGAGTGTTCACGGGCAGATGATTGCCTGGCATGGATGGGCATTGCTTTGTTGGATTAATCTATATTTGTTAAGTGATTTAACAAATTCTTAATTATGTTTTTTTAAAAATCCGTGGGCCACTGTCTGTTGGAAGAGTTTCCACCGTGCATACACATGCTTACCATTAGCTTTTGCAGTGAAAACCAAACGTTTGACTGCTCTCAGCTGTGATGCCCTCACCCTTTCATCCTTGCAGATAACTGTTATAATTTCTCGTCGCGGTACTGTTACAGCCCCAGATACTGGTACAAAGGCTTCCTGTCCCTGCAGTCCAGCATTGATGCTGCTATCATAGAGGTAAATCAAATTTATGAATTGATGTACCTGTCCTTTTATATTAAACTTGTTCCAGGACAGACAAGTTATTCTGTGACATTAGCAAGGGATGGGCTTCTTGGACAATTCTGCAGAAAAATGAGTATCTTAAGATACTCACCTGGCTGAGCATTACTGGCAGAGACAGCGAGAACTTGAATGCAATTGGCAGCTCCTGCAGAAAATTTAATGTTGAAGATTTGTACTAACTTTTGTTTCTCTTCAAAATGGTGATTTTTGCTAAAGACTGAGAACCAGCCGCAATGCCGCTATTTGATTTAGAGTATCCCTCAGATTCCAAGGAAGAGGCAATTCCGGCAGCATGCATATCTGCTGGATGATTTGATTTCAAAGTAGACATGTTTGCCATTTCTTGCCCTTCCTTTCCAAATTATTCCTCAAAAGTATATCAGGGTAGGGGTCACCCCACCTGGCCATGCACCTCCAGCTGCCTGGGCTGCTTTTACCCCTGGGGAGAGAAACAGGACCTTGGGGGGTGTGAGACGTTTGTGTGTCCAGATCCTTACCTCCAAGTGAGCTGAAGGATTCCCCTGTCTCCATGGACAAGGGAGGGGGAGTCTGGATGAGGTGCAGACACACAAGTGAGTCAGATGAGCCCTATCCCATAGGGCTTTATTGCATTACTTGTGATGTTTTCTATAAAGCTGCATTCAAAAGGCAATCTAGGGATGATTAATCAAAAGGTTCCTTATATAAATACATCTCACTGTAAAAAATAAATTTAATACTGAGATGTTGACCCTGACTTCCTTTAGGTGGTGGCAAATCATTCTGTTTGGGAAGAAATGAAATCGATTGCTGGTGTCCGTATGAAATCCCGGAGCGTCATCTCCTCAATTACACTAGAGTACAGTTACTTCATGATTACGATCGTGATGTGTTTCTCTCCGTTCATGTATTTCTTGTCAATCAATGTTGTAAGAGAAAAGAAGAAGCTCAAAGTACTGATGAAGGCAATGGGGCTGCAGGATATTGCATTTTGGTGAGTCCTTTTTTGACTAGAGTATATTTGCCAAGAATCAGCATACTCCTGGGCACTTGCAGTCAGTTAATAAGTGAAATAAGTTCATAAGCTTTCTCCAGTACTTAAAGGACTAACCAGAAGGGTTGAGCATGGCAGCTATGTATTCTTCTTCCTTGGGTATTTCATCTTAAGGTGGGTCATGCTATCTGTTCTGCCTAGAACATGAATGAGTTGTCCCTGGGAAATAATTAATATTTTAATTTAAAATGTTTCCACAAGCAGAGGAAGTTGTAACACACAGTTCTTAATTAAATGAAAATGTAATGCCACCTTTCCATCCTCAGGCTCTCCTGGAGTCTGCTGTATGCTCTGTACGTGATGGTCCTCTCCTGCCTGCTGGCAGCTCTCGTGCTGCGGGATGCTTTCTACCTCAGCAGCTTCCCTGCGGTCTCACTGCTCTTCTTCCTGTATGGCCTAGCATGTGTAAGTCAGGTGTTAAAGCCAAATTTTCCCACCACATGATTTATTACTGTGTTGATGAGCCTAAGCATTACTCCAGAGCCTTCTGCAGAGTGCTCAGGACTATCCTTTGCATGGTCATACTAATTGCAATAGCGGAGTGGGTTCTCTGACTCAGCAGCAGTGATTTAAACTGCAGCCTGAAGGTCTGACAGGCAGTAGGTTGGCTACAAAAGACCTGATTTGAAACTCAGATCAACCCACTAAGGAGAACTTCAGTGTGTTTTATTACACGGAATCAGCTCACCAGAGATCTGTTTGCCTGGCAAATGGAAGTGCTACAGTTAAAGGTATTTATTTCCTTCAGTGATGGAAGAAAACTTCTGTTCTTACAGGTCCACCTGGTTTTCATGCTCTGCTCCCTCTTAAGGACCTCCAAACTTGCTGGCTCCATGGGGTTCCTCATGACCTTTCTGTTCGGATGCCTGAGCCTCGCGGTGCTGATAGAAAACCTTCCAGACCCGTTGAAGTGGTTTCTCAGTCTCTTCTGCCCATTTGCATTTAATGCTGGCATTGCAAAGGTAGGTGGCATCAGCTCCGCAGCTGAACCTTCCCAGTAGTTTGTTGTCCTGGGCTCTCGGTGGGGACAGAGCACATTTTGTGACAGACCGTAGCAGTAAAAGACCCTGCTGTACCTTGCTCATAGAGCAAGGCGTAGGAAGTCATCCTCCTCCTTTCAAAAGACCGGCTTTTCCACATCTGTGAAATCTTTGGTACTTTTTATTCACATCCATGTCCTGCTTGGAAAGCTCCATGCAAGCTGAGCTGCTGTAGGGCAGCAAGGACGAGCTCCAATGTCCCCATCCCATTCCCCTATTTAAAAAGCTGATGAATGCAAAAAAACCCCACAGCCCTCATCACAAATAATCTGCCATTGTGCACTTCTGTAACATCCACACGAACCCGAGGAAGCCCCAGCGAGCCCATCACCACACACAACAGCACCATTATCCTCCGGAGCGGGACCCCAGGCAGGCGGGAGTTGACTTGGGGACATGAGCTCTTCGCTGTCCGGTCATTCCCCTCTCGCTGCAGCGTCTCTTCCTGCCAACAGAGACTGTGCAAACAGGAGCTGAGTTCTCTGCTGCGGCCATCCTTCCTCCATCCCCGCTTTGCATAGTGCTGTGCAGCTTCTCAATTTTTCCATCAGCCCTATCTCCATAGCTCTGAGTGCTGCTTTCTAGCACCAGTTAGTTCATATTTGATTTCCTGATGTATTAAAAAATCTGCCTGGGAGAGGAGATTTCTGCACAAGCAGAAAAAGGAACCGAGTGTACTGCTAATTTACATATGGTTAAATCAATGGCTATGTAAAATTACACCAACTTTGTCATGACTCCGTCATGCCAAGGGTGTCAATATCTTGTTCTTTCAATGATTTTCTATGAAACTCTGACCTTTTCTTCTGCTTCTGGATTGTTCTGGACAATTCTGAATGAAAACATAAGATCTCTGTGTGGAGTACTTTTATTTCTCTTCCTCACTGGAAAGGAAGGAAGAAAAATTGTACCCAGTACTGCCATTGATTTCTGGCTTAACAAAGTCAATGGCATCCATGGTGTGATGACATGTACATAGTTTTCCAGCCTGAAAATTATTATTTTCTGTCCTTTATTTCAGGTTTTCCATTTAGAGAAATATGGAATGGGTTTCTCTTTTTCTAACCTTATGGAAGAATCATACTTTTTATTTTTGACTTACATTATGCTGGTCTTTGACTCAGTCTTTTACATGCTGTTAGCTATGTATTTCGACAAAGTTCTGCCAGGTAGGTGTCACTTATGTTTATGATCATACTTTCTTCTTTTATACCTTTGTTTTATAAGGATTGCATGTAACAGCTCATCAAGGAAATGACATTCTTTGAGTCAACCAGAATAGGTTTTGGACTAAAAAAAACGTATTCTATAGCTGTGTGACTTTTCTGCCCCTGGCACACACTGGTAATTCCCAAATCAAAGACAACTAAGTACTTAATGATTATTTTCTTTCTAATTACACAAGTATTGAACTGTTTACAAGAAAATAGTGTAATAATGTGTGGGACTTTATTTTAATTCATTAAGTAAAATATTAAATTCATTAGATATAGCCCTGAAGCCAACCTTGTCTCATCTACTCCAGCTCCAAACTTCTTTTTTAACTGAACAAAGTACCAATTTTGAGGTAGGCAAGTACTCATTAGAACTTCCTAAATGTTTGGTCGAGGATGATGTCTTGGTTGTAGCTTTGGTTAACGACAGGTCATCTTCTTTGTTTCCTTGTCAGGCAAATATGGCACCCCAGATCCCCCTTTTTTCTGCCTGAAGCCCTCCTACTGGGTGCGGAGCAGGAGAGGCTCTGCCAGGGAGATGTCCAGAACTGCAGCGAGCCCTGAGGAGCTCCTCGGTGATGACATAGAGCCAGTGCCCCCTGAATTCATGGGGAAGGAAGCCATCAGGTTAAGAGAGAAACAATTGCTATTCATGATTTTGGAGTTGAGGAGTTCGGGTTTAATGCTCCCATGGACCACTGCTTCTGCCATCAGCTTTGTTTTGACTTATCCAGGCAGTTTTCATGTTCACGAGGCTCTTGCAAAATACTTCATTTCCCAGAGAAAAATTAGAGATATATTGCAGATGAGATAAACAGATAATTCAGGCTGGACTCTAACGGTGAAATTCGGATAATATCTGATTGAAAAAGAAAAAGTGTGGACTTTGTTAAATGTCCATTAGGGACAACAGGGAGAACGGGAGGACAGCCGGCTGTACAACAGCCTTCTGTTGCTATGGGCAACACGACCTTGTCTTTGCCAGGTTTGGTGCTCCGGTATCGCCTGCCACCTAGTGATGCTCCCACCTGCGCACAGACCGCGCCAGACCCTGCTGAATCCCGGGGCTGCTCCTCAGTACCTCCTGCTTCTCATGCCAGTTTAAATTAACAGCCATAAGAAAGAAAAAGGGCATCAGGGAAATGTATTTACAGAAATCCTGAAATAATATCCTCCTCACCTTCCTTTTAGACTCAGCAATATTAAAAAAGCATATAAAAAGAAGGACAAGAAGACAGAAGCTTTAAGAGGTATGAAAGCTGTGATATTGATTCCTGTTGAAGAGGAGGAAAAACAGCTGTGCAAACATTCCAGTCAGTCAAAGAAATGAAACAACACTTGCATTGCTCCACAATTTCTGTCAGATATTAATTGATGTGATTGATTACTATTTTGTCCAGTCTTCACTGTTTTTTTTAATTTTTAATAAGACTAAAGAAAAGAAAGATTTTTTTTTCCCCCTATTGTATTTCTGTTTTTTCTGCTAAGTACAGAACAGCTTCTTATGCCTTTAGTTAAAGGTTTTGCAGAACTCTGCCCCACATTGCTTAATGCACTTTTGGCTAATTATTGCTTCTTGGTTATTATACTTCTCAGATTTTCTTGCCTTTGACAATGAGTAGAGGCAAGTCAAACCTCATTTCTTCTCAAACTTGATGTTTTCATTCTAGGTTTGTCTTTAAATATTTACGAGGGTCAGATCACTGCGTTACTCGGCCACAGCGGGGCTGGAAAAACAACACTGTTAAACGTGGTCAGTGGACTGACTTTGCCTTCTGAAGGTAGGATGGCAAACGGTGGGATGACATGGGCTTGATTCGAAAGCTGTGAAGACAAGTTTGTCCCACCTCATCATGTTTATTCCTGTAAACAGGCTCTGCAACCATATACAACTACAAACTCTCAGAAATAGGAGATAGGGAAGCGATTAGAGAGATGATTGGCATTTGCCCACAATCCAACATACAGTTTGAAGTCTTAACGGTGAAAGAGAACTTGAAAACTTTTGCAGAAATCAAGGGCATCAGGTCCAAAGAGGTAGAGCGAGAGGTAAGTGTGTGTTCCCCTGAAAGGCACCATGATGCAGCAACGTGAGTGAGGCAAATCCAACATTTCAATAAAGGCTCCTATTGCCCTGGGAAGCTCAAAGGGTCCACCTGGATGTGTCTTCTGAAAATTGAAGCTGGTGTCGAGCTTCGACCAGGTTAGTAGGAGAGTTTTTGGGTTTGATGCAACCACAGTGATTCCTCTGCTCAACCCAAGGAGATTAGGGGATGTAAGAGCCCCTGCAGTGGCTCCTCCTGATGGTGGTGCTAGACCCTGGTACATGCTCAGAACCAGCAGGACCTCCTGGCTAACAAAGGATGGAAGGACAACTGGTGCTGAGAATAGACATCCTTGTGCTTTTCTAGGTGCAAAACATTTTGGAACTGCTGGATATCAGTAACATTCAAGACACTCAAGCTGAGAAACTAAGTGGTGGGCAAAAACGGAAGTTATCCATTGGAATAGCCATGCTTGGAAACCCACAGGTAAAGCAGCAGGCACGGCTCTGTAATATAGGAAATATTCAGATCCAACATAACTAAAACCTTATGCATGTACATGTCTACAAGTCTGTGCATGATTTCAGACTTCTTTAAAGCGCTCATCTTTATTAAAATTAATAAATGTAATTATTTCATTTAGTTAAATTCATAACCCATCTTGCTACTCTAGTTTTAAAGGAGATAGATCATTCCCTGACCTCTGCACAGCTCCCAGAATATATGGGATTATATATATATATATATATGCCCTTGCATAAAAGGTGGCCTGGGTCTATTGCCTTCAGGACCTGAGGCTTTCAGGGGAACACAAAACCCAAAAGACATGCAATTGTTCTGGCAAGGAGGAGTGTGTGAGTTCACCCTTTTCACAGGTTTTGCTCCTGGATGAGCCAACAGCTGGGCTGGATCCTCTTTCCAGGCACCAGGTGTGGAACCTCCTCAAGGAGCAGAGAGCTGGACGGGTGATCCTCTTCAGTACCCAGTTCATGGACGAGGCCGATATCCTCGCGGGTAAGCACAGGCTCAGCCTGAGCATCTCTGCAGAATAACCCTGGAGCAGAAAGCCCGTGTGAGGCTCAGTCGCTGAAAAAGCTTTGAATGACTGCTCTACAGTCCCAATTCCTTTGCCTTTTTCTTTCTTCAGACCGCAAGGCTTTTATCTCGCACGGGCGGCTGAAGTGTGTCGGTTCCTCTCTGTTCCTGAAGAAAAAATGGGGGATTGGCTATCATTTAAGGTATCCACTTCAGGCCCAACAACGGGTATCTGGGACTGTGCATGTTCAAGGAGCCATCAGAATGACTGTAAGGGGGAAACCGTAAAGGTCGTCATCAATACAAGAAAATTAACTGAATTAATATTCAGTTAAATTAACTGAAGCAGCGCTTTATTCCGGAGTGAGCAATGAATGAAGTATGCTGGAGTTTTCTTTTTATTCATCCTAGAAAATACAATGGTGGTGGTTGTTTGTTTTGGTTTGGGTTGGGTTTTTTTCAAAACTAAGCATCTCTTGGGTTTTTTTCCAACTGAACAGGATACACGTCAGTGAGTCTTGTAACTTAGAGAACGTGACATCTCTGGTTAAACGGTACATCCCCAATGTCATATTCTCTGGACAAGGTCAATATGAGCTGAAATATAAACTGCCATTAGAAAACGTGAATAAATTCCCAGGTAAGGTATATTAAATTGAGAATTTTTCATAGAGAAAATATAGTCCTGAATGTGGGGAAAGAGAAATGAATAGGGAGATTTTCTAAAGGAGCCACATAAGGCCTTTAGAACTGTTAAATTTTGGGTTTTACCCCTACAATTTTTGCATTCAAACATTTAAGATCAAAATGCACAACAAATAAATGCTTTTCTACTGATTGCAATGAAAAACCTAAATTCAGCTACATGTGTTACTGAGAGTTTATTTTTCTGTCTGTTGTAAGAGGAGATAATGACAAGAGAACACGTCATACAGCTACAGCTGGTTCTGCTCCGGCGCTGTGGTGGTACCAGGCAGACCCCCACTCACCACACCCATCCCATTCAGTCCGGCAGTCCCGCAGCCTTGCTGCCTCAGAGCATGCGCAGTCTGGAACGCTGGTGCTGTATAGCAAAGCATCTTCAGTGAGCTCCGGATCTGGCAGTTTTGTCTTCCCCCAGACCCTTTGTATCCTGACAGCTCACTGCTTTATCCTTTTCCTTGTTGCTGGAGATGCTCCAGTCAGGCTGACTCAGCTGAACCAGTCCGGTCTGGAGACACGTGCTCATGTTGGAAACCTTGAAGACACTTGTATCATCTCTGTCCTGCAGATCTGTTCAGTGGCCTTGACAGCTGCTCTGAGCAGGGAATTATCAATTATGGAGTTAGCATGACAACCCTGGAGGATGTCTTCCTGAGACTGGAGGAAGAAGCCACCATGGATCACGAAGGTACATGGCTGCAAATACACCACCCACAGCCCAAGAGAACGGCTACTATGCAGTAACCCCTGGGCATGCCTCCAAGAGCTCCTTACTAGGTGGCTTTTAATTTTTCACACATTACAACATAGAAAGTGGTCTTAGAAATGAATGTGCACGTGGAAAACTCTCTGCAGATGAGCACGTCCTTGGGGAGGAGTGGGCAGGAGCAGGACCATGGTGCCCCGACGAGACGGAGCCGGGCTCCCTGCTGCTCTCGGACACTGGGAAGGCGGCAGTTGGTGGCTTGGCTCTCTGGAGGCAGCAGGTCTCTGCCATGGCATGGGTGCACTTCTTAAAGCTTAAGAGTTCAGGGAAAAACCTGCGGTCAATGTAAGTACCAAAGTGAATCTCTTTTGCAGATCTGGAACTGGGGACAGTCACAGCAGGGGGGACAGTTTTCACAGCCCTGTTTCAATTAGCATTTGGATTAACTGGTATCAGGTCTTGGCTATGAATGATCTTGGTGATCTGCAATCAGAGGAGAGGAAAGCATCTTCCTTTCTGGTGCCAGTAATATAAAATGTCCCTTTTGTGCATTTTCATTTCTATACTGAATGATTTATGCAAGGGAAACCCATTTTCTTTCTAAGAAAAGGATCATTTAGAAACACTTCCATTTCAGATAGAGGAGGGCATTTTAAAATAAACCAGTGTGTACAGAGAGAGGAAGGAAAAAATACCTTCAGACTTCCTCTTTAATGTTTTGGTTGGTTTGTTGTTTGGGTTTTTTGTTGGTTTTTTTTTTTTAATTTCTCTCATGTTGCCAGTGTCTGAACTCATTTGTCCCTGCTGGTGTTCAAGCTGGTATTTCCTGGTGGGGCACAAAAACCAGAAGGGAGATGATGCTTTATGAAAAACTTACATCTTAAGGAAGTCTGAAAGGCATTTCATGTCCCTAAAAAGTTGAGCACCCCAGATCTGAAGTCCAATCCCTGCCAAATTTTGGTGGCCCTTGTGAATGAATGATCAAGGTTTGAGACTTCTGAAAAGAAACGTGCCAAGAATTTTTAACAGAAAGAGCATTGGGTAACCTGAAAATATTATGCCATTCACAATACACAAATGCAGTCTGCTGAACATCTCTCTTCAGAGTGTTTATTCATCTCTCTTTTAATGTAGTTTGCTGCTCTATGTGGTTTTTCTACTTCCTCTGCTTTTGCAACTGTCCCTGGTTGCTGCCTGGCAGAGTGTGAGCGCCTGGGAGCTCTCATCCGCACGGTACTTCTTGCCCCTGGGGAAGGGGGCTCACCCGGAGATGACCAGCCTCCTGGTCCACAACAACACAGGTGAGGGCAACAAGCCTTTCCTCAGCCTCTCCTACTCCGGGGCTTCTTGCTGTTGCAAAAGAAGCAAGTGACAGAATAGACAGCTGTAGGATGTAGGGGATCTAAGGGGTGATGAAGGTTTTTGTGACAGAAGAGCATAGGCATTGTCGGTTTTAAAGGGTTGTCATAGAATGAATCACAGAATCACAGACTGGTTTGGGTTGGAAGGGACCTTATCCCCCCACCCTGCCATGGGCAGGGACACCTTCCACTAGACCAGGTTGCTCCAAGATTCATCCAGCCTGGCTTTGAACCCCATTTGGGCTTCAGCATCTGGTGAGATCCTGAGGCAATGATGTGAAAAGGGCTATCACAACAGATGAGATTAAAAGAGACCCAGTTCTCTCCATGTCCCAGATTCAGACATCTATCCAATTTCTGAATTTTCAGTGTGTGAGATTCTCAAACCAGGCGCCATACTCCAGTAAGGGCGGTGGGG